GGTAATAAAGTAAACCAAAACTTCTCAGAGCAAGCCCTTAGTGTAATGGAAAATCAACTTTCTAGACCTGTTTCTCAAAGTGTGGTTGTTATAAAGGACCCTGTTAAAAGTGCAGACGTCTAGGTTTCATCCTTCAATAAATTTGATTCAGTAGGTCTAGGGTAGGTTCCAAGATTATGAAATTTTTTTTTTTAAAGATTTTATTTTTCCTTCTTCTCCTCAAAGCCCCCGGTACATAGTTGTATATTTTCAGTTGTGGGTCCTTCTAGTTGTGGCATGTGTGACACCGCCTCAACATGGCCTGATGAGCGGTGCCATGTCCGCACCCAGGACCCCAACCAGTGACACCCTGGGCCGACGAAGCAGACCACACGAACTTAACCACTCGGCCACGGGGCCAGCCACCAAGATTATGAAATTTTAACATGTAGCCCAGGTGATTATTTACACTGAAGTTTAAGAACTACTGCTCTACATAATTCTTATGGACAGGGACCACATCACATAAATTTCTATGCATAACACAGGGAAATTAAATAAACATTAAGTGATTCAAATGATGAACAACGGGGGGGGGCCCGGTGGCACAGTGGTTAGGTGTGCATGTTCTGCTTTGGGGGCCCAGGGTTTGCCGGTTCGGATCCCGGGTGTAGACGTGGCACCGCTTGACAAGCCATGCCATGGCAGGCATCCCACATAGAAAGTAGAGGAAGATGGGCATGGATGTTAGCTCAGGGCCAGTCTTCCTCAGCAAAAAAGAGGAGGACTGGTGGCAGATATTAGCTCAGGGCTAATCTTCCTCAAAAAGAAAAAGAAAAAATGATGAACAATGGGAAAAAATACACCATTCCTAATAATAAACCACCACCTGATCTTCCTGGAAGAATGTGATATATTCTAGACAACTCAAATACAACACCTCAATAATTCCTAGACACTTCTTTTACTAGTCTTTCGTCTTCTCTAGTAGATGGTTTTATAAAGGAATCTCTCTTTTCTTCACATTTGAGTTGAAAGATGTCTTGATTGCAGTAAATCTCTAGTACTGAAGAACTTCTTCCTTTGGGTGCTTCTCATCTGTTGTCAAGAGCCCATTGTGTGGGTACTGAAAGCTATGGCTCAGAAAGAAAAATTTTGTTTTTCTATAGCCTCTCCACTAAGTCCCACTATTCACTCTCCAGATATTTCTTTATCTTCCAAAGTCACAACCTTCAAAATAAAAGATTAAAATGTTACCTGTGCCCTTCAGGTCCTTCTATTTACTGTTTAATACTTTAAAGTTATTAGTCAGAAACACATCTTCCAAGGACTATGGTACACAAAGGTAAGACGTTTATCAAGTGAACCACTCAGTAGCTCAAGAAATTGATTTGGAAACAACTCACATTGGAAATATTTTTTCCACTAACAGGTTTTTGTTGTTGTTTTTGTTTTGGTGAGGAAGATCAACCCTGAGCTAACATCTGTTGCCAATCTTCCTTTATTTTCTGTATGTGGGACACCACCAGAGCATAGCTTGATGAGCAGTGTGTAGGTCTGAGCCCAGAATCCGAATCCGTGAACTCCAGGCGGCTGAAGCGGAGTATGTGAACTTAACCACTAAGCCACCTGGCCAGCCCCTTCCACTAACAGTTTTAAAGAACATTTAAGAAAATATATCCATCTGCAGTTTTTAATTTGCTTTGGATATATTTATTCAAAACAAAATACAGGGTTACTATGGAAAAACATTAAATTTATAAGCAAAGACTTCCACAATCAATTGATTTCTCCCCTTCTTGGAGTACATTACTCTATTTCCAACTTTTCAAATACAATAACTTTTCAAATAAAATAAACAGAAGAGCAAAGATATTCACAAGGAAAATATAATACCAACAAAGTTAAGTAAACTTAAAGTCTTTCTCTTCTCTTGAAACATTTAAATGAGTATGGCCACAAAATAATCCCACTAACAGGAAGTCAATTCATATCTCTAATCCTGTTAGTAATAATCAAGTATAATGAAAATTTAGGACTACAGGGATTAAGAGGGCCAAGAAAGGGCAGTGAGACAACAGTTTACTTTCATTCTATCTGCTTGCATAATATCTATCTCAATTAGCTCTAAGTAGATTAAGCCCGTTAACAACTACAAATTCTCCTACTGTCACTGAATATCACTCATCAAAAATAGCATACAGGAGCCACCAGCCCTGTGGCCTAGTGGTTAAGGTTGGTGCACTCCACTTTGGCAATCCGGGTTTGATTCCCTGGCGGAGACCTACACATGTCCACAGCCATGCTGTGGTGGTGATTCACACACAAAACAGAGGGAGATTGGCACAGATGTTAGCTCATCTTCCTTAGGGGGAAAAAACAGCATATAAAAACCCATTATCATTTAAAGCTAAAATTTGATCCTGCCATTAAGATCTCTTTTGAATTTCAGAAGTAATAAAGCTAAGCATCATCAGTCTGAATTCCTCTAAAATGCACCTCCCTTTCCCCTGAAACTTATTTGATTGTATCTGTGTTCTAGATCATGATAGTTTATTCATAAAAATTCTTGATATTTTTAGCTTTCTTAATCATCCACTAGTCTCCAGACGTTAGTAAAATAAAATTCTTGGTTAAGCAATAAATTTCTAACTCCATCCTTAAATTAGGAGTGAGACTGAACAGATCTGGGAACATAATTGGCAGATAATAACTGAAGGAGACAGTGAGCAAAGAAGAGAGCATGTTTAATCCTTAAATGCCATCTGCTCCATTCGCAGTTCACCTACTTCCTGGATAGGGCTAAAGTATACCACTGTCGCCTCTCCTTGATGTTTTATTTTTTGGGGGTGTTTCAGTTTGTTTTGCAACTGCTACTGAGCCTCTGGTTCTTAGTAATAAGGTATTTTCTAAAGAATTGCAGGAGTTTTGCACATGTGACACTTTCATGTCAGTTCTCAAAGCAATGTCGGAGAATGTAGACATTTTTCCAATAACAGTCTGTCTTGTCAAAATATGCAGGTAATTCTATTTTCTGAATAATTTTCATAAAAACATTACAAAAGGATCAATTGAAAAAACATTTTACTACCATAGAGGAACACAATCTTATTTTATTTTCTAATATTCATCTAACGTGTTCTACACGCCACGTACTGCATTAGGCACTTTACAACCTTCATCTCGTTTAATTTTCACAATGTACAAAGAAATAGGCATTTTCCCATTCTACTGATAAGGAAAATGAGACTCAGAGTAAATTGCTAAATATCACTTTGGTTGTATTAACATACACACTCTAAAATTTTACAAAATTTTTTGGAAAACTAAGAAAAGCAGGGAAAAGCTATCCACCATCTGAGCGTTATTATGACCATTTTTATTATGCTTCAGTATGCTTTGTGCATTCACTCTTTTCCATATTTCATATTATTTCTCTATTACAGATTCCCAGAAGTAGATCATGACATACGGATAATTTTATCAAAGACCATGCTTTTTCATTTTTATGATGCTGCCTCCCTAAAATGACACCAGATGCAAGGAAAAGGAACTTCCCTTCTACCACATGGGGGAAACAATTCACCATAAAAATAAAACAGGGGCTGGCCCAGTGGCCAAGTTCACTTGCTCTGTTTCAGCAGCTGGGGTTCGTTGGTTCAGATCCCAGGCATGGACCTACACACCACTCATCAAGCCAATGCTGTGGCAGTGTCCCACATACAAAATAGAAGGAGACTGGCACAGATGTTAGCTTAGGGCCACTCTTCCTCAAGCAAAAAGAGGAAGATCAGCTACAGATGTTAGCTCAGGGTCAATCTTCCTCACTAATAAATAAATAAATAAATAAAACAAGTCACTGAAAAACAAGTCTTTGTAACCTGGCAGAGAGCACAGGCTCTGGAGTTCAGACCAGGGGTGGAATCCCAGCTCAGCCTCTAGACCTGCACTTCTCTGGGCAAGCCCCCAACCCCTCTTTTGCTCAGTGTCAGTTCCTTCATCTCTCAAAAGGGGTTAATACTTAAAATTAGAGAGCATAAATCATTGCTAGTAATCTTTAAAGCTCTAAGAGCATATGGCTGTAAGCCACAAATGTTTCAAAATACAATGTTAAAATTCCTCTGCTTGGGAGATTAGATTGTCGGTTACCAGAGGGGAAGGGGGGAGGGAGGAAGACAAAGGGGTAATAGGACACGTGTGGTGATGGATGGTAATTAGTCTTTGGGCGGTGAACATGACATAGTCTACACAGAAATCGAAATATATAACGATGTACACCTGGAATTTATATAATGTTATAAACCAATGTTATCTCAATAAAAAAAAAATTTCTGTGCGTGGGTTGCTTAATGGTGAGTAAAGAATGTTGTATCTCCTCCACCTGCCAAAGCCAGTAAATTCCACAAGGAGGGATATTAGTTTTGTTCACTCACGTATACCAAGCTCCGAGAACAGCGCCTGGCACGCTTGACATTTGGTAAATGGTTGCAAATGGTTTAAGAGCTTCCACTCCTGTGAATTGCTTTGAATCAATTATTTGGATATTGTAATAAATCTGGCATGGTTTCACTCTTCAGTTTAGTTCTCGCATTCCTGAAGTGAAAATGTTACAAAATACATAGCTCTCAATTATATAAATGAGTGGATTGTTATATATCATTCTATAAGTGAGTTACATCTACTGACAGCAGAAAGACTCAGATATTCTACTCCCTAGACCTAAAGTCGAACTCCCCCCACCCAGCTACCTGATGGGGCCCAGACTCCAGAAGTGTCAAAACTCACGGCTATGCACATGCACAGGCCTGTAGGAGCCAAGTTATCACCAAGCCCACCTCACTCTCAGACTCTACATCCCCAGGAGACAAGGAGTTACAGTTTCTTCTCTAGTGAACCCCACAAGCCTGGAATCGGAGCCGCCGAAGACAGAGCGGGCGGGGAAAGGGGGTCGGGAAGAGAGCAGACCCTCTCAAGCCTCACTCATTGGAAAGAGCCCGTGTTGCCGGAAACAGCGTCCTCACCTCCTTCTTTCTTTGGGCAGAGGCTGAGGGAACCCCGCACACGAGCAGCGCCACCGCCACGGTCGCAGAAACACACCAAAGACACCAACGCGCTGCCATGTTCGCTCCTCTCCCTCCCAGAAGAGAAACTTTCCCCGGGCTGGGGCTCAGGGTTGGGCGTGAGAACAGGCAAACCAGCCCCTGACCCCTCCTCATTGGTCCTGCTCAGCCCTGCCGGGCGACCCCTCACATTACGTCACGGCGCTCTACTGCTAGACGCCCGCTAAAAGACGGTTCACTTCTAATTGGTCTCCGCTAGCCAATAGCAAAAGGATAATCTGGATCTTTTTCATTGGTCCGCTAAGGATGATGGGCCGCCCCTTTCATTAGACGTAAAGTCGCGCTCAGCGGCTCTTCAAATGGGCGTGCGCAGTTGTGAAGTGTTGCGGCTTTTGAGTCCAACATGGCTGAAGATTGCTCAAAGCGGGTGTTCTTAGACTCATTTAAGAAGTGTTTGAAATCTTCCTCTTTCGTGTAATATTCTCGAAAAATTGGACCTAACTACGTGAATGATGGAAGCTAGCTTAGTCTTTCATTCTGCCTCCAAAGTGTTTCATATGAAAAATTTAAAAAAGTAAAAGCCGAAAGGCAAAAAAATATACTTAATATCACTGAGGGAGATTTTAAAAAGTAAATGATCAAGAGCTTGTTGAATACCTTCTGTCTCAGGAACTATGCTATGTGCACTGAACAAAGCGGACGTCAAAAGTGTTTTTAAGTTTTGTTTATTCGTGACATTTTTAAAGTTAAACCTCTTAATTTATTACTTAAGGCACCAACAAGGACTTAAATTTCGGGTTATAGGCAGTAAATGCCTTCTTTTTTATATGTTATTGTCTAGGAGATGGGTGCAAAACTTAGGTTTTAGGAAAGCACTTCTGTCAAGTTTTTGTCATAGTCAGTTTTCATTAAACATCCAATTCCCCTATGTAAAAAATAAAAATCCTATATAGCTGAAGAAGTTTCCATTTATTTGGCTCAGTTCTGTTTATCATAGTAGGTTGTAAAACTGGGATGATTTTACTAAAGAAGAATAATATACTCACGAGGGAAAATACCAACAAAATAAAATCGATTGCCTATAGTTTGGATTTGTTTTACTGAGGTGGAACGTCATGACTACTCTTTTAGGCTCTGCTGGGAAACACACACACAGGGTAAAATAATTTCATTTTGTTGCAGAGACAAGGAGATGGCTATGGAAGGGAAAATAGCTGGTTCTGAAGTGAAGCGATGTGATCTAGAGATATGAAAAAAATTAAAAACATTTATAGACGCTCATAATAATATAAAAGTACACTGAGGCGTTCTATATGATTCCATTTATATGACATTCTGGAAAATGCAAACTCAGAGACAGACAACAGATCAGTGGCTATCAGGGGCTGGAGGCAGGGAGAGGGGTAAAAACTACAAAGGAGCCACACAAGGAGATTTTTTGTGGTGATGGAATCGTTCCTTAATTGTTGGGGTGGTTACACACTCTATGCATTTGTCAAAACTCACAGAACTGCACTCCAAAAAGGAGTGAATTTTACTGCATGTAAATTTAACAAATAAAAATTAAGGTAGGGTCCGGCCCTGTGGCTAAGTGGTTAAGTTCGCACACTCCGCTTTGGCGGCTCAGGGTTTCGCCAGTTCGAATCCAGGGCATGGACATGGCACTGCTCATCAAGCCATGCTGAGGTGGCATCCCACAGCTAAAAAGGACCCACAACTAAAAATACACAACTACGTACCACGGGGCTTTGGGGAGAAAAAGGAAAAATAAAATCTTAGAAAAAAAGAGCATAAAAATTTAAGGTAAAAATTTAAAGTACACCTATCATGTTGGCAACAATTCATTACATGCTATCATCGGTGCTGTGGGGAAACAGGGATCCTCATACAGTGCTGGTGTATACAAAATGGTACAACATCTATGGAGGGTAATTTGACACTACCTAACAAAACCACACGAGCATTTATCCTTTGATCCAGCAATCCCACTAATCCCACTTGTAGGAATCTACTCTAATAATAAGCAAAAACATGTGCACAAAGTTATTCACTTCAGCACTATTTGTAATTGAAATATTCTAAAAACTACCCAAATGTTCAAATATAGGAGACTGATTGAATGTACTATGGTACATAAACACCATGGAGTATTTCACAACTGTAAAAAAAGGAATGAAGAAGAGTTGTGTAAACGATGTGAATTTTCAAGGTCTATTGTTAAGTGAAAAAGAACAAAGTGCAAAAGAATATGCATATCATGCTGTATTTGTGTAGAATAAAAGAGGAAATAAGAAAATATATACATATTTGCCCATTTTTGCAAAAGGAAACCTAGATAGTTTAAACCAGAAACTAATGAAATTGGTTTCCTACAGGAGGTGGAGGAAATGTAGTGGAACAATTATGGGAGGGAAGGACACTTCTCTAAGCACACCAGTTTTATAGTTTCAACTTTTGGAGTAATGTTAATAGTTTTTAAGTAATCAAAATATAAAACCAAATTATTTGGTTTTTGCAAGATGAAAAAAGTTCTGGAGACAGATGGGGATGATGGTTGCACAACAATGTGAATGTAGTTAATGCCACTGAACTGTACACTTAAAAATGGTTAAATGGTAAATTTTATGTTATGTATATTTTGCCACTATTTAAAAAATAAAATAGGGGCTGGCCCCGTGGCCGAGTGGTTAAGTTCGCTCGCTCCGCTGCAGGCGGCCCAGTGTTTCGTTGGTTCGAATCTGGGCGCGGACATGGCACTGCTCATCAAACCACGCTGAGGCATCGTCCCACATGCCACAACTGGAAGAACCCACAGCGAAGAATATACAACTATGTACCAGGGGGCTTTGGGGAGAAAAAGGAAAAAAATAAAATCTTTAAAAAATAAAATAAAGTTTTTAAAAGTCAAATCAATAAGAATGGAGAAAAAACTTAAATCGAATACAAACAGAAAAAAGGGAACCCAACTCTATTTCAAATGAAAACTATACTAAAGAATAAAAGAACTGATCTGAATAACTTATAAACACACTACTTTGATTATATACCATTAGTCTAAAGAAAAAAATAACTACAAGCAAATCTCAAACTCTACTAAGTAGGTTTGTTTTTCATAGTGATATAAATATAGCAATTCTGAAAATATGTTGGGTGTAATGCACTATGTAAAAACATTGATGTTATTGAGAGCCAAGAATCTCACTGTTGAAGGAGATACAAATATGAAATGAGAAAAAGTAAAGAAGAACTTTGGGGGTTGGATTTGAATTGGAGGTATTAGTATAAACTTATCATTCATAACATATATTCCTACCTCTATTCACTGAAAGGACTAGAAGCAATGACACTCCACTATCAATGAGCACACCTCGTGCCAAATCTAGGTTGCTAAATTATGCCATCCCTAAAAGAAATGAGGGCTCCTGAGAGAGATGGCTGATTCTAATGCTGGGGCAGGGAAAGTACAAGATAAGCCTTGAACATCTTGTGTCAGAAAATAAAGACATGCTCAAAAATATGATGGAGACGTTAAAAAAAGACATATAAGCCAGCTTGAAGGGACTCCTACTCACCACATCTGGAACTATTGATTATTAAAATGAATTGTGATACTAATGGATTATAGCCTATTGAATCCATGAATCCACACTGATAATGAACAAATAAATAGGGGAGAAAGTAAAATTCCTCTTTACAGTAGAATACCCACTATTAAATATAGAAGGAATGAGAGAGGTGGAAAATTACCATTTGGCAACTTTCCTACTAATAATTGATTTAGGCAAAAATCATCAATGGATATAAAAACTAGTGGGTGACAGTTTGATGAATAATAGGATATTCACATAGTCTCAATGTGTTCGTTATGTTATTTATTAATTGCAAAGGGAAAAACAGTAACTTTATAGTGTAGGAACTTGGAGGCCACTCCTTTGACCAAATGATTAAAGCTGGTGTTACCAATAATGGGATAATCTAATATATGCTTCCTGATAAGATGCCCTAAGAAGACATCTGTTATGTAGTATTCCTGCCAGAAATGCATAAACTGCATCTAATTATGAGGAAACATCAAGCACACATAATCTGAGGGAACTTTTACAAAATAACTGGCCTGTACTCTTCAAAAACATTACACAGCACAGACCTGTGGAGTCAGAATGTCCGTTACCAGTTCTGCCTCTTAACAATTGCCTAATCATGATCTTCTACGAGTCATTTAAGGATTCTGCACCTCACTTCCATCATCTGTTAAATTGAGAAAATAAAGCTTACCTGTAGTGAGAAAAAATTAATGCCACGAAAGGCAAACAAAGGCTGAGGAACTATTCCATTTTAACGGAGACTAAAGAGACATGACAATTAAATTCAACACGGGGACCTAGATTGAATTCTGAACAGAGACACTGGAACAACTGGTGAAATCGGTCTGTGAGGTGTAGTGTGTCGATATTAAAATTTCTGAATTTGTTATCTGTACTGTCGTTATGTAAGAGAATATCTTACTCTCAGGAAATGAACCCTGAAGTATTGATAGGTAAAAGCACATCATGTACGCAAGCTATTTTCAAATGGTTCAGCAAAAAAAACCCCCTATATATATGTATAACAGAGAGAGAACACGTGGCAAAATATTACCAACTGGTGTACCTTGGTAATGGGTATACAGTTCTTCCTTCCCGCTAATATTTTATTATGAAAATATCCAAACATATAGAAAAAGTGAAAGAATTATACTCTGAACACCCAACATCAAGATTCTACAACCAACGATTTGTTAAATTTGCTTTATCATATTATTTATCCAAATATTAGGAATTCTTTTTACTATTCTCGCAACTTTTCTCTAAATTTAAATCATTTCAAAATTAAAAGTTAAACGAATTAGTATGTAGTAATAGGAGACAAAAAAATTAAAGAAACGAAGTCAGTTTGGGGGGGGAACAGAAAGAACTGCTAGCGTGGAGCGAGATACAAGCTTAAGCTTCTGAAACTCTATCTTGAAGCTGGTGCCTTTGAGGACTCAGTCTAAGATCAGTGTCGCAGCTCTCCTCTATGGAGCCTAGCTTCAAGGCGGGGTGGCGGTGGGGGGCTGTCTCTCATTCTTCGGGAAATACCATCATACGTCACTCATAACGCGTGAAACTACATTTCCCGAAAGGCCTTTATATTTCCTTGCTGTAAAGAGGATTACAATTGTGATAGGTTTTTAAGGTCTCGCGAGATTCCATTAAATCTCATCAAAGAGCCCAGCCGAAAGCCATTTTGTTTTTCAGGGCTCTTTGCAAGGGTACCTGACGTGCAGTAGCAAGAAACCGGCAGCTGCACTTGCCGCAGTTCTGTCTTCAGCTTCAGAATGTTTCCCTTGGCCAAAAACGCACTAAGTCGTCTCCCAGGTGAGCAAAAATTGTGAGCAAATCATTTCCAACCGCCTTTTATCCATTTGTCCTCGTGGTCTCTCGTGCCCTTTCCCTCCATCTGCATCCCAACCTAACCCTAAATGCTCAGTCTCCCACCTCGCTTCAAGTTAGTGGGAAGATGTCTTTAGTATTAGCTTAATCACCCAGTGTTTCTGTTTTCGGTTCCCAGCTCTCTTTCTTTTACCGGAGTCATAGTCTAGCGCTTACTTTTTTTTTTTATTATTAAGTAACCTGCGATTTCAGGGAAGGAGACGCTTGGTGGACACCTCTCCTTAAATAATTTCGTAAATTTTAGCTTTGCGGATACGTTTACCTCCAAATAGAAGTACCTTCTCTCCAATTCTTGTAACCGTAACGGAAGAAAACTGTAAATCCAGCGCTTCATCTGGTTTCATTGCAGGGAGACAACGTAAATGGTAGCCTTGCAGCTTTTATGTTATCTGTGGGTTGTTATCTGAGTATTTGCTGCCCCGAAAGCAGTTGTGATCATTTTTTCTGTATCTAAAAGTTAGACAGGTACAGGGAAATTTTGAGACCAGTATTATGTATAGATAATGCACTAGATTGGAGAGAGAAAATTCATTTCAGTGCTTGATTTGCGCTGAAGGTGACCTTGAGTAATGTGAGCAGTTGTTTTACAATGAAAGTGACCTTAAGCATTTACCATTTAGCTTCTTCAGCCATCTTTTTATTTTCAGTTTACTGAATCATTGGAGATATTACTAGATTGTGTTCTAAACACTCAAGCAGCTTTGACAATATCCAAAAAATATTTGCCCGACTGGTTTTTCATATTCCAAAAGTCACGTCTGTTATCTCTTTAATTTTGGGCAAATGATTTAACCTCTCTGAACCTCATTTTCCTCCTTTGTAAAATAAGGGGTTAATAACCTTACGGAGTTGTTGAGGATTATATGAGATTACCAGTAAGTGGTAACTAAACCATTTTTTGTCACAGAAGAGAGGTCTAAAGAAATCTACTTGGGTGACCTGAGTGTTGAGGTCATGAAGCGTTGCAGAATTGTTTAGTAATCTTAATTTCTTTGCCCTTTGAGCAGGTCAGGCCTTGTACCTCAGGAAGGGAATTTTTTGGGTTTTTCTCAATGTGGAATTCACACGGTTTTTAACTGCTCTAGAGCAGAGTATATTGTAAAATGTTTGTAAATTTGCTCAAGTTTGACTAAAGGTGAAAAAAAACCTGTAAGGCAGTTAAGAGAAGAAACCATTAATGGTCAAATAACTATCCTTAAACAACCCATTATATCACACAGAAACCATTATATTCTTAAGTGAATGGGCAGCATTGTTGTTTCTTTAATGCGTTTTCCATTGCGTACTTAAGTACCTTCTGAGGCTCTGAGAGGATGAGGATCTGCTGCTTAGATTGGAGAAGAAGCGAAAACCAGAGAAATAATGCATTTTCCAATCTTGGCTCTTTCCCACACCCTTCTAAGTGTCTCCAGAGGCAGTTCGAAAACTCTTTCTACTAAAATAAAAGTAAAAGGAAAGTTTTAATGTTGTCATTCTGCTCGAAAACCTTTACCTCTACCAAAAAAGTGACCCTCCATGATCCTTTCTAGTTTTACCCCCTATTAGTTGTCTATGCTCTTCATCCTTCAACGAAACCTAATTGCTTTTCTAGTTCAGTACGATAGGCTTCTCTGTCTCTACTTTTTTCAGATTCGTCTTTCCCACATCTGCATAACCTAATCTTACCTGCTATTCAAGGTGCTTAGCTAACATTCTACTTCCTTGTATTATAGTGATTTGTGTCTATATGTCTGATATCCTCCTCTAGACTGTAAGTTACCTGAGGACAGGGTCTGTCTTACGTATTTTCATATACCCCATTTCTTTTATCATGGTGCTGTATTCATTAGTAATGTTTTTAAAAATCAGTATTACTCTAGTTTTTGGAGGGTTTTTTCCTAATTTTAAGGTCATAAACATTTAGTGTGCTTTAATTTGAAGTTCATTTTAAACTTATTTACCCTTTTATGTTGTAAGTTGTTGAGCACTGCTGAGTAAACCTTAGTGAAAATTGAAGTCATAAGCCTTCAAATTAATGAATAGGAGCCAAGTTCCAGAGGTTATACAAATACCGATTTATAGTGAATGTTACTGACATTGCCTTTTCTTTGTTTTTTTTCCCCTAACATTTTATTATGAAAACTTGCAGACGTACAAAAAAGTTGGAAGAATTATATAATGAACATCTATGTACCCACCACATAGATTCTACAATTAACATTTTGGTATATTCGTTTTGTCACATATTTATCCGTCTGTCAGTTCATCTTATTTTTGATGCATTTCAAACTATGTTACTTTGCTTTTAGCTACAATATAGCATTTTATTGAACTACATAATACTGTAAAGTTAGTTTCCTTGGCTTTCCTAATTGGCAGTATCAATTACATACGTTTTCTTTTCCTGACAATTGATGGATATGCTTCTGTATTTTTTTTTCAAGTTCGAGGAATTCAGCAAACAGTGGCAAGGCAGAGCCACCACAAACGGACACCTGATTTCCATGACAAATATGGTAATGCGGTATTAGCTAGTGGAGCCACTTTTTGTATTGCTGTATGGGCATATGTAAGTATTCTTGATTGATGTTTTAGATGTTTTTCATTCTCATTTAGTTCATGTATTTGAAATGTTTTCACACATTAGTATACATGTCTAGTTAGAAGTGACTTTAGAAATTTTCTAATGTAATCACCCACCTAGTGCAGAAATTTCTTCCTCAACATTCAGTATTCATCCATCATCTGTTCTTAACCTTTCCGTTAACAAGTTGCTTACTGGACACAAGGCAGCCCTTTCTGTATTGTGTAGCTGTTGAAAGGATCTTCTGTTGAGGTAAAATCTGCCTCCTTCATATTCTGCCCATCATTCCGTTGCAACACAAATTCTGATCCCATTTCCATGTATCAGCCATTAGATATTAGAAAATTGCTATCATCTTTCCTGGATCTTCTCTTTCAGATTAAACATCCTTAGTTCTGTCAGTCATTTTTTTGTTATACGGTTTCCAGGGTTTTCACCATTTTGGGCCACCTTCCTTCACTTAATCAGTTTTTCTTCTAAAATTTTGCCCCGAGAGCTGAGTACAGCATTTCTGATGGATGAGCTATAAAGTGACTTGCTTTCAATACTTTAGCTTTTTACGTGTTACATTTAACAGCCTGCTTACCAGTCAGTGTACTTGCTGGTTAAAAGTAGGTGTCTTGAAGTTAATGATAAATACATAAGTGGATTTTAAAGGATATGAATCAACCCTTGCCTTAATAAACAAAGATGCTTTATTAATAGGCGTTTTTCATTCTTGTTTGATCTTCCTAAAATCAGATACACTATTAAAATAAGCGTGTGTGCTTAATTAGAAGAGTAAACAGATGTTGAACTAATGTGTGATCACAGGCATTTTGGAGGTGAAGTGGTCCTTAATAAAGGGATATTACAAAAGTGTTCTTTTGCAGTATTTAGGTCGTTGTGGTTGAGTGAAGCAGCGTTTTGAGAAGGTAGTATAGAAATGCAAAATATAAATTTGAATTAATTAAATAAAATTAATTCTGTTCCTCAGTCATACTAGCCACATTTCAGTTGCTCAATAGCTGTATGTGGCTGGTGCTACTGTATTGGACAGTGCAGATATAGAACATTTCCTTTGCTCTAGAGAATTGGGCCAGCAATTAAGTTTGGTCTACACAGAGAGCACTATATCTCGGGTGAGTTTCTGTGTGTTTTTAACCATAGAGCAGAATACCTTTGGCACTTTTAAGAAATAGTCTCTAAGGGAGAGTGGATTCTGGTTTAAACATATATAACTGACAGCATTTTAATTCTTACAGACAGCAACACAAATTGGAATAGAATGGAACCTGTCCCCTGTTGGGAGAGTCACCCCAAAGGAATGGAGAGACCAGTAATCATCCCAGCTGGTTGTTATAATGTATTATTTCAAAACCAACTCATAATTGATGCCAAGTGAGAACACTGTGTACCCATTAAAATATGACATGATTGAAGAATAAAGTACATTTGAAAGCTTCATTGTAGGTTGGTTTGTTTCTTTTGTAAATGAAACCAAGCTCCATGACTTTTCATTTATTTAACCTTAATGTTAAAGTCAAAATGCTATGCAACTTCTAAAATAGCTTTTCTCTATGAGGTAGTGTGAAGGGAAAATTTCGGAAGTCAACTTTACAGTAGGCGGAAATTGTAGTTCATGAATAACTGATCACAGAGTTATTTTGCATCATCTTTGAGTTAAAAGTTTGGTGTCCAGATCTTTGGTATGCCTACTAATTTCTACCTGTCATTTATGTTTATAGTTGGAATTGGCATTATTAAGTCCTTTTCACTCCTGCCAGGAGAATTTGGGGTGTCATCAGACCCATGGGAAGAATGGTCCTATCAAATGAACTAGAATATCTGAAGACTAGCTAGCTCCTTGGCTCCCTTGGCACATTTATCTTAATTAGAGCTTTAGATTTTTCAGCATATTTATTTGGGGTTTTTATGATGTTACTAAAGAAAGGATCTGTCAAATAGAGTTTATTTTCACTTATCTAACTACTATCAGTGACCTCTGCTGTTGGCTTTCTGTAATTATACCAACTTTAAGATTTTTGGATTTTCCTGAATTCAGTATGACATTGGATGTTGTGTGTAAGGTATTGACTGGAGAAAACATCTACACCATGTGCTTCATTAATTCCTTGGTCAAAGGCTGTAAAGTAAGCCTCATGTAGTAGTTTGTTGATGGTGCTCTAGTAAGCACAAAATAGTTTCAGTCGAGCAGCCTGTCTGTATTGGCTAAATCAGTGATTTCTAAAGTTCACTGACCTGGCATTGTAAGTTATCAGGTGAGTGGCTTTTGGAAATCTCCAGATTTACCTGATGTAGATAAAGATTTAGACTTAACCAAACATTTGAAAACTTTTTACTTATTACATGAAATACTAGAGGAATGCTCTCATGGCAGTGTGTCCTGTTTTCTCATTAAATGCACCAAAGCCAGTAATTTCATGGTTTGAGTAAGAAAAATACTTTGAATGTCACTGCAAAATGAGTAGGTTGCAACACTAATAACTATATAGTAGTGCCACTATTCGATAAAATTTGAATGAACCCGTAGAAAGGATGTTACAATAGGACTAAAGTATTCAAACGCATGTAACCCTGAGACATGATTAAGCAAAATAAACGTCATCAAGGAAGCTTCAACCTTCCATTAGACTGTTTACCTTTTCATTACTGACTTGGCCCTGAAAATTTCTAATGACTGGAGGTAATTTTCAGTGTGATTTGTGCCAGTTCTGTAAGGTAAGTGATAATTGTCAGCTATTCTGATAGGCAAAAAGAGAGGCATGACATTTGAATATGTCTGTCCATTTGCCCGCATATATGTTGCTCTATGGAGTAAAACCTAGTAGTGGTAATCAGCATCTTTGAACAAACTTCTAAACTTAATTTTGTAGTTCATCTCGTCCTGATGTGTAATTCTAAAACTACCATGGCCATTACCGGAAATGAAGCAGCAGTTTAAGTCAAATTATTTTGTGCCATCACAATCTTCTGACCTTGCAGCTTTCCTAGTGTACTCAGAGTCAAAAGTTTTATCCTCTCATAAATGTACTCAACTTAGCCCATAACACGTCACTGTGAGAGTTTAATAATACCTAGAGTGGGAAGGTTGTCAAATTAGTTTCCCCATCAAAAATCTATGAAGAATTTAGGTAAATGACTGGCGGCATTGCCAGTCCTTTAAAGCTTACTCATTGGAGGGCTATGAATTGTTTTTTAGTTAGGGTGCATGTCATAAATCCCATTCTTAATTTCACTCTAAAACGTGTTCTTTTAAATTCACTAAACTTATTTTGATCTAGGTGCCATGGTAGTTGCAGAGGCACAGATGTTGAGTTCTCACCCTTGTGACTATTAACTTGATTGGAGATACTACTACCACTCCGTAAGCATTTGGGGGGCACCTACTGTCTGCTCAATGCCAGAAAACCTGATTACTTCTTGAAGACATTCCCTTTTATTTGAGAGCTCAGTGAAACTAATATTGTAATCCTAAAAAGTGGTGGTGTGCTTGTGCATTGGTGAGGGCGGTTAGGGATGATGCATTTAGAGATAAGAGGTGTGTGAGCAAAAGAAAGGCTCAGTCACTAAGGACGAATATGGTGGAGGATCTTACAGCTCCTAACAATCAACTTTACATAAAAAAACTAGAGAGCTAGTAGATTTGCTATTCTAGTAAAGCTTTATTTTTGGTTTCTGTCAGTGAATTTGTTTGAAAGCATAGGACAGTGTTAATATTGTAGTTACAAACCAACTTGCTAATAATTGGGAGCCCCCTTAAAAGAGATCTTAATTTCATGTGATATGATTTTTAAGATCTTAAATTTGGGGCTGAAACTGTATCTTAATGGTTAAGGCTGTGCACATTGATTGACAACTACAACTTAATGTCTGGGAAGGTAAGGAGTCCTGAAGCTGATTTTTTTTTTTTTTTTGCTTGAGGAAGATTGGCCCTGAGCTAACATCTGTGCCAGTCTTCCTCTGTTTTGTACGTGGGATGTCGCCACAGCCTGGCGTGATGAGTGGTGTGTAGATCCGCGCCACAGATCCAAACTGGGGAACCCTGGGGCTGGGTAGTAGAGCGTGGGAACCTAAACACTAAGCCACCAGCCGGCCCCAAGCAGATTTTTTATTTATGTGGATGGGTGTAGAGGGGGAAGTAATAGGTTCAGGAGGAAGTGATTTCTTTCTGAAGTACTTAATTGAAGGCCTAAAATAATCCTGTGATTAATTTTCCCATACATCTTATGACAGATAGTTAATGAAAGCTGATATGAAAAGACTACATCTCGCTTCAAAATTAGTGAGAGAGAACCTCTCCCTCTTACGTTGATGTTTATAGTTGGAAAAAAATCCTAGGATTTTGCTTTTTAAAATGTCAAATTGGAAAACAAGAATCAAAGAAGACATTTTTTCTCAAATGCTTTCTGTACCATTCATTGCATTGTATTGCTACAATTTATGCATCTCATTTCTATCTAAATTCATGGTGATATACTCTAATATTCTCTGCATCCTTGGAATCCTCCAGATTCTTAAGATGATGGATGAATGAACAAATGAATGAATGGGCAAGTGGTTCAGCGCTTGGAAGGGCGATGTGAAGGTAGTGTGAAGTGAGATCCCTGCCCCAACTCCAACACACTCACACATAAAGATTATGTATTTAAAAGCATCAATTAAAAAAATATGAATTCAAAACATTTTCTGAGATCATTTTTCAATAGATGACGGCAAGTTCATAGTTCTGGCGTTCACATCTGGAGTTAGGCTACACAAGTCTAGCAGAAGCACGTTGAGTTCATGCCGGGAAAAGCTGAACTATGTAGAAGATGATGTGCGATGAGCTATATGGCACTTCCTGGCTGGAGGCTGGGAAACTACAGAGGACACAGGTTCGGGCGGGTCGTTTTGTTTTGCTTTGCTGTTGGCGAGGGGGAAGGGGGTTCTCTGCAGCGCCACAAGGGAAGACTTCCGCCTGAGGCTGCGCGGCGGCCGGGCAGCAGGGGGCGGGGGACGCGCGACTCCAGTCATGGCGTGCCCCTTCACGTGACGCGTCCCTCTCCCGGCCTCGCCGGCGCTGCTTCCGGCCGGGGCAGCGCCCGGAAGTGGGGGGAGGGAGGGAGGAGGGGCCCAGGGCGGCCGCCCGCCGGCGGGGGTGGAGGAAGCGAAGAAGCAGAGGGAGGAGTTGCCGCTGCCGCCGCCACGGCCACAGCCACTGCCGCTCCTGTGACTTGTCCCGGCGTGTGAGATCGGAGCCTGCGCGCGTGGATTTGTCGCTGCCACGGGCTGCGTAGCTCCAGAGGTTTACCCATAGGACAGAAAACCCAGGTAAGTCAGATACGGGCTTCCCGTCGTCCCTTTCTACGGGAGGGGTGTTCCGTGCTGTCAGTTTGTACTACCTGGAGTGGCGAGAAGGTCATTTTAATCTGGGGCAATTTCCATACTCTCACTTCTTCACAACTCAGGTGTTCACCACACTCATGTGTTACCTCCCCTAGGAGGGGATAGAGGAAGGGAGATTAGGTCCTGAGCCGTGTCACTTTCTTGTGCTCTCCTGGAGAAGTGTCCTGATCATCCATGGCCTATGTTACCTAATTAATTGAAAGTACGAGAAGATCTATGCCCGGTATGAAAAGTCACATCGATTGATCACCACTATTAATGAAATAATGTAAAAAAAATAGATATTTTGCTTTTTGTCTCGCTCTGGGAGCATAAGCTAGACTGAGAGAACTCTCCCGTTTCGATTTCATGTTGTTCATTCCGTTCCCTTCCCACTAAAGTTACTCTCCATCCTTGTCGCGCCCTGTGGCATCTTTATCTTTGACGCTTTTTGTTATAGACCTTGAGGTTATCCTAAGCACTGACAACTCTTTTATCGTTTCACAGGTCAATGTTTTTCAGCATCCGATCTTTGTTTTAATTACAGCCTCTTCATCTACAGTAATATGGCTTTGTATTGAGACTTCATGTGTGCAGAACGTTGAATTAGGTGATATTGACGTGTGTGTTTCGGGGGATAGGGGGCATTACACAAAAAATAGGACCGAGTCCCTTGCCTCAAAAGAGTGTGCAATCAAGTTAATGGAGTTCAGTTAGGAAGACAATGGGTTCTAGCAGCCCCACTGATTCAATAACTAGGCTGCTTATCTCATCCATTTTAAAGGGTATTTTGAGCTGAGATTTTATATTTTAACTTTTGAACTTTCTTGTGTCCACTGTCATGACATGAGAGGGTTTTCTTGTACTGGAGAGGCTCACAATGTAGTAGGAAAGATAGGTACAGCCTTTTAATCTCAGTGACATTGTACATTAGAAACAAAGTATTGTGTGAGTGCAGGGAAGGGGGCATTTGACCTGAGCCTTGAAAAATGGTGGGATTTAGCTTTGCAGGAATGGAGATGGGGAGGGCAGCCTAGGTAGAAGAAATAATGCGAGGAAAGGCTTGGGGGGCTGGAAAGATGCCGGGCATCTAGCAACACACTGTATGTCAACATCCCTATTTCTAACACAGCCGCATCTTCGAAATGTCACTGGTTAAAAGGAAAAAATGTAGAATACAGAGCTGGTAAGCTTAGAACTATATCAAACTACCCTCCAGCCAGTAAAAAAAATGTTTCTATATAGAAAAAATACACGAAATGACAAAAACAGTGCTAATGTATGAGATTTAATTCTGAATGTAAGCTCTTAAAGGAGAAAAAAGTAAAGTTTGCTCTACTTTAGTTCTGATTGAGTGTTGTGGGTTAAATATAATTTGGAATCATTTTTTAAATTGCTGGGAATGAATAACAACATTGTCTAAAGCTAGAAGCTCTTCCAGGTTTTCCCCAAGGAATTTCTGCATTTCCTTTTCTCCTCCAAACTGATTTCTCTACTGATCTTCTTAATCTCATAGAAACTGTTCTTTTCCAGTCGTAGTCTTGGAAGAGCTTGATTCTTGGCCTCTGGGTAGGGTTAGATTCAATACTAATCTCTCCAAAGGATGGGTTAACATCTCTAGTCTCTAATGCAGAAGGTTGTTAAAAAACACGTGTAGAAGCAGTAAAATTTGTTTGAAAACAGGGAAAGGATGAGCAAATATAACCCAAACTAATGCACTACAGTCTTACTTCTGTGAGGGCTCTAAGGCAATTCATTCCTTTTTATAAAATCCTTCTCATTATAACTACTTTTTATTTTTTGCTGAGGAAGGTTTGCCCTGAGCTAACATCCGTTGCCATTCTTCCTCTTTTTGCTTGAGGAATATTCACCCTGAGCTAACATCTCTGCCAGTCTTCCTCTATTTTGTATGTGGGACGCTGCCTCAGCATGGCTGCCTACAAGTGGTGTAGGTCAGCACCCAGGAGCCCAACCTGGACCACTGAATTGGGGCATGCCGAACTTAACCACTAGGCCACAGGGCTGTCCCTCATTATAACTACTTTTGTCCGTATGTTTAAAAATACTTGGAAAACTTTAATCAAGACTTTTGACATCCCAACGAGTGAAAATAATCTTCATTTACCAGTTGGGAAAGTAAATTGTAAGGAGAGATTTGTCTGAGGTGATACAGGCACTGGCATAGATGAGAATAATATTTGGGAGTTTTGTCTCAAAATTCCCTCTACTCATCTTTGTTAAAGGGCAGGACAACATTTAAAGTATTACAGAGTTTTGTTTTTAAATATGATCTTTCTTTGGACTTAAAGCAAGATGGGGGTGGAGGGGAGGCCAGCGAGGGAGACAGGCAACAGTCAGACCTATTTCAGTTCAGTCTGCCATCCCAGCAATCATGTTTTTCACTTATAAATCTCAGTCTTCAGCTTGATTTCATGTGATATAACTTTCCTACTTACTTGCTGAGCTAGTATGGCAGGAAAAGTATCACACCTTTAGAATATATTTCATTAAAATGAAAGGGCAAGATGTTTCTGGTTTTATAAATATGTTCCTAGTTTCTCCAGCACTATTAGAAAGTCGGAATGATTTCCTCATCTTTGTGGGCTCAAATGTGTGGGATATTGGTAGATTACATCAATTTTCATGGATACTTCTTTCATTGAAGGCCATGAGGATAAAATATACCCATTTTGAGCTGGTTAGTTGCACTGTCTCATGTTTTCTGTCCACATTTCGATTATTCAGCTATAGCTCAAGGATTTAAATTTTTTTCACCTATTTTTACTTTATAGTCCTCTAGTGTAGTAGTCCAGTTTTCCAGACTTGTAATCAGGAGTGCATTTTAACAGTTTACTAATTGAAATAAATGGCTTATTTCATGTCTTAGGGAAATTGTTTTAGCCTGGTCATTTACCTTAGTTGATTTTTTTGCAAAAAATTGAGGTGTTTTCTTTTATGCTGTTCTAATTGCTGCTGATCCTACTTGTGCATTTGATGTTCCACCCAAAGCAGATAGGGAGGGAATAATACTGGAATTACTTCCCTCCCCTACTCCCACCTGAGAGTTTGCAGAGTGCTGTATATTTCTTGAAATTGTGGAGAAAATGGTTTCTGCTCTCTTGAGCGTTCACCCAAAGCACACTACCTGCCTCTCAGGAGAGGAGAGCATTAAGGGGGCTTCTGTTAAGACTTGAAAAACTGTCGACAGAGATATGAGAGGAGAGAGAAAGAATTCCACAGTGGAGAGCCCTTAAAGAAAATTCTTAGGACTATTTAGGGTAAATTTGCAGCTGACCTCTAGTGGCATGAGGTTGATCCTTGAGCCAGCAAAAGCTTCCAGAGAGCTTAGTTGTTAAAGAATTGCAAGGGTAATCTCTTTTCTTGATCCTTGCACTTAGAATGGTAGGAAAAAAAGGAGTTATTTGTTTCTTTGGTGATGATAAAATTATTTGCTCTAAGAATTCTAATTGAATTATTAAATTAATCATTAATAGTATTAAAGTAATAATGTGAAGTATATTATATTAATTATTAAATATAATAATATTAAAATATTAATATTAGTTTGAATTACTTGTATACAACAGTTTCATTTTGGCCAATAAATGCTTTCTCATATTTTACTATACCATTTCACTGTTAATTCCAAATATCACTTTTTAGTTCAGATTTATGGCCACAATATCTTGGTATTAATTTCTAATCACAACTGTAAGTGCATTTATATGTATTAGCAATCAGATTGGTGTCATATGTCTTCAAGTATAGTCCATCTAAAGCAAAGTGTTTTGTCTTGCTCATCTCTTTCTAGCTAGGTCATGACAGAATTTTAGTCTTAAAAACCCTTGTAGTCTTCAGATAGCTTTAAAGCCTTAAATTCATTATATGATGATGGAGAAAGGAATAATTTGTTTAGTACAATATATTATTTGACCTTGAGTGTCAGGGTATGATTAGGATTGCCTAAGGGTTTGTCTACAGTGTTTATAAAAATAACCCACAAATTCCTGTTTCTTAACTTTAGGGGAAGTGGTAAGTCATGGGATTTTCAATCTTTTACTTTTTTTTTTGTGCACATAAGTGAAGGAGACCAGAACTGTCTGGTGTGAAAAATAAATCTCGTGCTTTGTCTATTGTTTGTACTTTGGTAAGAGCTGACATATTCTTTCATAGGGCCAGATTTTATCCCCAGACCTAGCAAGTAGCTAAACTGAGATTTAAAGCCAGTCAGTCTGGCTTCAGAACCTATGCATTTGCCTAAAATAAAGGAACAATATTTTTTTTCTTGAGGTCATAATAATTTAATACATTGTGAAATTTCAGTTGTACATTATTATTTCCAGTCACCATATAAATGTGCCGTTTCACCCCTTGTGCCCACCCCACAACCCACTTCCCCTCTGATAACCACTAAACTGTTCTCTTTGTGTGTTTGTTTATCTTCCAAATGAGTGAAATCATATGACGTTTGGCTTTCTCTGTCTGGCTTATTTCACTTAACATAATACCCTCACGGTCCATCCATGTTGTTGCAAATGGGATGATTTTGTCTTTTTTATGACTGAGTAGTATTCCATTGTATATATACACTAGATCTTTTGTATCCAATCATCAGTCGATATGTACTTAGGTTGCTTCCATGTCTTGGCTATTGTGAATAATGCTGCAATGAACATAGGGGTGCGTAAGTCTCTTTGAATTGTTGATTTCCAGTTTTTTGGATAAATACCCAGTAGTGGGATAGCTGGATCATATGGTATTTCTATTTTTAATTTTTTGAGGAATCTCCATGCTGTTTTCCATAGTGGCTGCACCAGTTTGCATTCCCACCAGCAGTGTATGAGGGTTCCCTTTTCTCCACATCCTCTCCAACATTTGTTCTTTTTTGTCTTGGTGATTATAGCCATTCTAACAGATGTAAGGTGATATCTTAGTGTAGTTTTAAT